CCAGCATCACCATCACCATCACCATCACCATCAGCATCATCATCATCCCCATCCCTATCCCCATGCACATGTCCATGGCCATCCTCCTCCACATCCTCGTCATCATCATCCTCATCCTCATCCCCATCCGGATCCTGATTCTCCGCCTCCTCCTCCTCATCACCAGCGTCATCGTCAGCATCATCGTCATCAGCAACATCATCAACAATAACGTCATCATCATCATCGTCACAACCACCAGCACTACCACCAACCCCCACCGCCACTGCCACCACCACAATCCTCATCCCCATCTTCTTCCTCATCCTCATTCTCCTCCTCCTTCTCCTCATCATCAACAGCATCATCATCATCATTATCATCATCGTTATTGTCATCAGCAGCAGCATCAACAACATCCTCATCCTCATCCTCATCCTCATCATCATCATCATCATCATCATCATCATCACCATCATCATCATCATCATCATCATCATCATCATCATCATCATCATTACCAACACCACCACCAGCACCACCACCAACCCCCACTGCCACCGCCACCACCACCATAATCGGCAGAATCACCATCATCAGCATCATCTCAAGCATCACCATCATCATCGTCACCCTCATCCTCACCCGCATCCGCGGGCATCCTCATCCTCGTTGGCATCGTTAAGGTCAATGTCGTCATCATCAGCATCATCATCACCATCACCACCATCATTAGCATCATCATCACCATCATCATCATCATCATCATCATCATCGTCATCATCATCATCAACCTCCACATCATCATCACCACCACCTCCATCATCATCATCATCATCCTCCTCCTCATCACCATCATCATCATCATCATCATCATCATCTTCATCATCATCAAAAACATCCTCATCATCGTCGTAATCAGCATCAGCAGCATCGTCAACATCATTATCAACATCCTCATTGTCATCATGATCGTCACCGTCATCATCATCATCATCATCATCGTCATCATCATCATCATCATCATCACCATCATCAGCATCATCATCATTATCATCATCGGCATCATCATCGTCATCATCGCCATCATCAGCATCACCATCATCATAATCATCATCAGAATAACCATCATAATCATCATCATCCTCATTATCATTATCATCATCATCATCGCCATCGTCATCGTCATCATCTCTTTCTCTCGGTCGTCTCCTCCTGTTACTCATCTTCTTCCATCCCCCCTCTGCGCGCAAGCCGGGGAGTGCGAAAGAAGGGGAAAGAGAATGGGCGAGGCGGATGCGGCATTGCATCAGCCTGTGCGCCGATCGTTGATGGACTCTTGTCCCCCTCAGAGCCAATGTCAGAAGGAAGAAGAGAGAGAGAGAGAGAAGAAACAAAGAGAGAGAGAGAGAGACAGAGAGAGAAGGAGGGAGAGAGACATGCAGTGAGACAGGCCGAGCGAGAGAAAGGCAAGGAGAGAGAGAGAGAGAGAGAGAGAAAGGGCGAGAGACAGGGAGAAGAGAGGGAAAGCAAAAGAGAGAGAGAGAGAGAGAAAGAGAGAAGCGAGAGGGATACTGAGAAATTGAGAAAAAGAGAGAGAGAGAGAGAGAGAAAGAGACAGAGAGCGGGCGCGGCATCATGGCGACGCCAACAACGGTACACTGGATGATGGAAGTACCGATGATTGGTGGCGATGACGACGGCAAGGCGTCGGTGATGAAGATTTCGAAGGAGTTCAACATGCGCGCGCGGCCGACGCGTGCGAGGGGCCCGCGTGGTATTTTTGACACGGATCGTGCAACCCCAGCTCTCGCGCAAGGGCGTTCAGATGAGTTCGACATGCGCGCGCGAGAGGCCCGTTTAGCGGAATCTGATGAACATGTTGGGTAATCTGCGTTATTCTTCAGAATTCGCCAGAGATCGCGCGCAAGCAATTAATGATAAGCATTAAAGCGGATGTTACAAAACCATGTGCCTTATGATGTGTTCGTTGAAATCCTTGCGAAACCTGAGAAACTGTTCGGCGGATTTCGGCATGCGCGCACGACGACGCGCGCGCGCACGTCGTCCCATTTGTTCCCAGGGATTTGTCCGACAGCACGCGCGCAAGGCTTGCACGCGCGACAGGCCCGTTCTATGGCTTTGTTAAGACTTCGCCTGAGCGCGGGCGCAGGGTGATTTTGGCGCTGAATGCCCTGGTTGCAAAACCATGCGTTTGTATATGCTTTCGGAACTCTCGATTTTGAAACCCTTGCGAAACATTAGGTTGTTTTCAGATTTCGGCATGCGCGCACGACGACGCGCGCGCGTGCGCACATCTTCCACTTGTTTGCACGAGATTATTGGAAACTGCTGGGATTTGATAAACGAGTGCGCGCGCAGAGTCTTTTCGGCAGAGGATGAGGGGGTAGCCGAACTCTGGCCTAGCTGGAACCGTTTGAACTCATAGGGGAAACATTCAAGGAGGCACAATCATACGTATATTGCCATGCGCGAGACCGGCTTGTCAATTCCACTGCTCGCTCAAACGTCCCACCCACCCACCCGCAACTTGGTTTGCAAAACCCAAGCGACGGCGATTGCGATGAATGCTTGGCGTCACGGGACGCTGTACTGGGTGGGGGAGGCCCATGCGGGCTGCGCCACCGGGACCTTCGGCGCGCGCAAGCTCGCGCGCAGAGCGGCCTGCTAGGTTGGCAAGACCGGCGCGGCCGCGGTGCCGCTGACCGCTGGGGACTTCCCAGCGCGTCTGGCAGACCGCGCTGGCGCACTTCACTGCGAGTCGGTGATTCGGGTGGGCGCGGTGACATGGTGACGTAGACAAGGCGGACACGATGATGATGGTACCGATGCTGGTTGCGATGATGACGATGACAACGGCAAGGCCAATGACGGCGCCGAAGCCTATCCCCCCTAACGCTGGACCTGGGGGGAGGGCTTTTTGGGGGGGGATGCGGGGTAATTAGGTGCACTGAGCGGGTGGATAAGGCGTCCGACATCAGAACCCCTACCCACACCAACCATCGATTTTCCTGAGCCGATGGGAGGCGGAGGTAGGGTTCGGACTTCGCCACGTCTTCGACGAATTCCGAACCCTACCCCCGCCGCCCATCGAAATCCGAACCCTACCCCCGGTGATCGGCGAGCGCGGGCCACGGAGCCCTCGACCCATCCCCGAGGGGCCGGCCTCTCGTCGAGAGCCATGGCCCGGTGGCCCCGTCGGCCACGGGGCGCAGCAGTGGCCCTGGCAGGAGCGGCCGCTGGCGGGAGGCGTGCCGATCGCCGCGTGCGATGCGACGGCGGCGGCACGCGTGCCTGGGCCGGGCCCCGCCGCGCCGCGCCCCCCGCCGCGCCGCACACCAGAGGCCAGCCGCACACAACGGACCCGCCGTCCCTGGCCCGCGAGGCGCAGCCCCTGACCCAGACCGGGGGGGTAACAAACCTCTGCCGGCCGTTCCTGGCCGCCTTCGCGTTGCCAGGCCACGTCGCGGTGCAGAGAGGAAGAGGAACCAGGGCAGGAGGACAACGAGGGGCCACTGCGGCGACGGGCAACTCTCACGTGTGGCAGAGCCCTGGAAACCGAGAGGCGGCGGAAGACCTCCGTCTCGACTTCTTCGAGACGTCGGGTGCCTGGCTTTCAGGACACCAACCTGGCCTCCTGCGGCCAATCGGCACGAGTCGGGCACCGCCAGAACGCTGTCGACGAGGCGCAGCTGCTGCTGGAAAGCATGCCTGAGCGACGAACCCGCACAAGAACCGACGAAAGCGTAAAACGATCAGAGCGAACACCGAAGAACCCTGGTGTGCCGATCGAGGGGGTACGCCTCGAGCGGCGGAGCGCGCCTGGCCAGCCGGTCGTCCAGCCGGGCCTCGAGCTGGGGGTTCCTGCTGCCGCGGGGCGCGGCTGCCAGACACGACCACGACCACCTGTACAACATGCTGCCCAGCCAGATGAGGCGTACCGTCCACCGTGCTGCAGGTGGGTAAACAATGCGTGATCCGACCCACTAAAGGCAACTGGCACCCACAAGCCGATCGTCTTACAAATCCTCCTCCGCCTCCTCCTCCCTCCTCCTCCTCCTCCTCTTCCTCCTCCTCCTCCTGCTCGATCTCGGTGACGGATCCAACATATTTTGAATTTTGCTCGCCGATTTCGGCCTCCGGGGGATCCGTCTCGGGCAGCGGGACAGTCAAGAATCGTCCCCAAAAGAAACACTTGCCACCAGAATAACCCGGGATGCAGGGACCGACCGACTCTGCGCGGACTGTGGGCTTTAACCTTGTCGATTCTCGAGGATCGAAGGCCTGTTGGGCGTCTCTGGCCCTTACTAAACATCTGGGGGCCCACGGGGGGGGCCTCTGGAGACACTGCTCCTGCTGTTCCTGCTCCTCCTCGCCCTCCCCCTCGACGCGCCACTCCTCCTGCTCCTGCTCCTGCTGCCTCCTGCCTCCTGCCTCCTGCCTCCTGCCTCCTCTTCCTCATCCTGCTGCTCCTTCTCCTCCTCCTCCTCCTCCTCCGCCTCCTCCTCCTCCTCCTCCTCCTCCTCCTCCTCCTCCTCCTCGCCCTCCTCATCCTCCTCGTGCTCCACCTCCCCACCTCCTGCTCCTGCTGCTGCTGCTCCTCCTCCCCCTCCTCTTCGCCCCCGGCGTCTTCGCCCTGCTCGGATTGGCACTCAAGGGGGCACGGGTGGATGCACTGGGTTTGAAGCACGGCATCTCTGAAACCTAACCATAAACGTATACATGCACCAGCACGGCAAGACAGACAAATCCTTGGTGGGTCAACGAGGCAGGTCTCACACAAGATCGAGTTGCATGCGTTGTGAAACAAATCCATGGATTTCTCGTAGACCAAATAAGAATCCCCCGGTTTGACACATTTGGTCAGGCCAAGGAGAGCATACCCACCATCGTCCCAATACTCGATCAATACCGTTGCATGCAAGTATACGTCATCCACCATAGTCCATCGCCACCGCAATGGTTGCCTGTCCGCGCTCACGGGCAGATCAGAAATACCATTACCAACATTCCGACCAGGGTGGACGAAGGGATCGAACGCGCAACACGGGGAAACCTGACCTGGTCTCCTGTGCTAAAACGGCTGCCAACAACTGGCACGCTTGAGGAGGGTCTGGCTTAGTGTGCGCCCTTCCAGGCGCCAAAGTCGCCATCCCCTCCTACGCCCGCCGCTCCTGGGACCAAACAGATGGCAAGGCACAAAACGCGCACAGCTCTGCGCGAGAATGTGCCGCATAGCGCTTGCCTCCGCCGCCCCCGCACATCTCGCCCCCCCGCCACTGCCCGCCGCGCTCTTTCGCGCTCGACGCCGTGCCGGCAGCGACGGCTGACGACTGACGCAGCGGGGATGGGTGGGCACGGCTCGGCGGGCTGAGTCGAAAGGCGGCCAGGACACACGAAATGCGGCCTCGAACGAAGCGGGCGTCTGAGCGCACCGCAGTGTGCTGCAGGTGTCGTGGTTGACCCCCTGCTCCCACTCCGTTCGCTCGCATCCAGCAGCGGGCGGGTTGGGCACGCCCTCTTCCGCCCGCGGGTGCTCCAGGAGAGCCTGCTCCCTGAATCCATGTCAGGCATGCTGCCATGCAACGCTTCAAAGTTGGGATCGGTGCCCTCCTCCTCCTCCTCCCCTCCTCGCTCCCCTCCTCCCGTCTCCCTCCCCTCCCCTCCCATATGCCAAGGCCGTCCACGTCGACAATGCAACAGGAAACCGACCGAACCGACAACGAAACCGAAACCGACAGATACCGAATCCACCGGAAGCAGCCCAGCAGGGTGCCGCGACGCAGCCACGACGCGGCAACCGTAAGTGCAACCGACTGCTACGACCTACCCCCCTCCGCCTACCTCCGCGGCCGCCTCTGCGGCACCCCCCGATCTGCCGCCCTCCTGCGGGCCGCGCCGTTCTGGACGGCGTACCTCTCCACGAGGGAGACGACCTGGGAGGCCCAGCAGAGCCCGAGGAGGTGCGCTGGCGGGGGGGGAAAGGGAAGCAAGGAGGGGAGTGACAAAGGGGAGGAGGATGGTCAAGAGCAGAACAAGAACAGAGTAGCAGGAAGAAGAGATGAGCGGAGGAGGAGGAGGAGGAGGAGGAGGAGGAGGAGGAATAAGAGAGGAGGAAAAAGAAAAGGGGAGCAACAATGAAACAGGATCGCGGGAAACAAGTGGGCAGGAACACAAGGCGAGAGCAGGGGGAAGCGAAAACATCCAGCGACTGCCCAGTGGTCCGGGAGGACTTCGGCAGGCTCCCGAGGGGGACGGGGGTGAGGAGGACGAGGGGGAGAAGAGCCAGGAACCCAAACCCCCGACGTCATGATTTTTTCATGACGTCGACCCCCGAAGGTCTCGACCCATTTCCCGGGACAGCTTTTCATCCTGAGTCGTCTTTTGACGGCCCCGAGGCCTGGTAAGGGATCCGAGAAACCGAAAATAGCGAAAAACCTTCCGTCGTGATTTATGGCGCGAGCGGGTCTGGGAAGGGGGAGGGAACAAGGGAGGAGGCGCAGGCTCTGGGCAAGTTACCATCGCTCGTCCTCGTCTTCGCCCACCGCGATCGACATCGACACGTCGTCATCGTCGTCGCCGTCGTCGCCGTCGTCGTCGCCTCGTCGTCGTCGTCGTCGTCGTCGTCGTCGTCGTCGTCGTCGTCGTCGTCGTCGTCGTCGTCGTCGTCGTCGTCGTCGTCGTCGTCGTCGTTGTCGACGTCGTCGTCGTCGTCGTCGTAGTCGTCGTCGTCGTCGTCGGGTCTTGCCACGACGCAAAGGGAGAGGCTCGGCGGCAGGCCCAGCGGGAAAAAAGACAGGGGGCAGGCCTTCTTAGAAAACGGCGGGGCTTCTCAGGAGCCCTCCAGCCTTCCGACAGTCCGTCCCCGTGTTCGGAGAAGGCTTACCCGGCGATAGATCGGCGATGGGCCCCCGATAGCGAAACTGCACGTTGGGGGGGTGGGTGGGACACCAGGCCTCCATCGGCGGTGAATGGGCGATTGGGGATCGGCGCATCCCCCCTGGGCCAATCCCTCTCGAACGTTGCCCCTGAAAAGAAGACAAGGCCGCAGATGTCTCAACTGGCCCTCCCTCGGAGCTCAACCTTCTGTGTTCCTTGGGCGTGACCCCGCGGGGCCCCCGCGCGCATGCGGCAGCCGTGGCGACGCCCACGACAGCCCAAATTTGGTCAGATCTAGTGCCCTTCAGGACGCGGGTGGTTTGCTTGAGGCGTTTCCTCCTTTCGACGGCATCCCCAGCTCTTTGTTCCACCGCATGCTCCATCCCTTCCCTGGTCGCGGCAGTTCGCCTGGGCATCGTCAGCATCGTTGCTGGATGGGCTGGGAAGAATACTTTTATTGGTTAGTGGGCGCACGAAACGGGTCGAACGCCGAGCGTGCTACGGCGGGCCGCGCTGGTAGCAAAGTGAAAAGCAGCTGGCTGGGGGAAATACTTTTTGTCGCAACCGCAGGCGAAGGCGCCAGCGGCGAGTAAGGTCCGAGCGGGCCGCGCAAGAGCCGAATTGCCGCCTGGGGGGAATACGTTTTTTTGGTCGCGGGCGGACGCGGATTCGCAGTCGCCGAGCTGAGAGGTCCGGGCCACGGGCCCGTCAAATTAGCAACGCGCAAGCCTAGAAGCACAGCGGCCGAGCCCGCAGTCAGAACCTACCGCCGGTGGGGCCGCGGGCTGATGGGAGGCTGGCTGAGCTGACTGCAAACGGCCAGGGTAGCTGATGCACCATGCGAGTGAATTGGCTCCAGTACGACCTGGGGGGAATACGCGAAGCGTCAAATTTCGAACGAGGACAAATCGGCAACCTCTGACAGCTGGCGGATCTCGAGGACAGATCGAACGCCGCAGTCGCTCCAGAACGCTCCAGGACACTCTGAGAGCGTTCCAGAACGGTCTGCAACGACTCATCCTCATCCGGTGCATACCTGTCGGCTCTCTGACGACACCGAGCCCAGAAGCAGGGCTCTGGGAGGGCGGGATCGAGATAAAGACCTCCGACGCTTCTGCCGATCGACGATGGACGACGATGGACGACGATGGACGACGACGACGACGACGACGACGACGAAGACGACGACGACGACGACGACGACGACGCAGCCATCTCCTTTTGCTTCCTCTTCCTTCCCCGCGACGACCACCGCCACTACGGCGAACACGAACACGCCGACGACGACAGAAACCAAACTTCCATGAACAGACACTCTGGAGGTCCGCGCGGATTTCGTGGATTGGCGATGGACTCGCCTCCCTGGCGCGCGGAGCACGCCTTGGCGGCGCGCACAAGGGGGAGGGGGGAGGGGGGAGGGTTTCTTAGAAGGAGGCTGCTTCTTAGAAGGCGCCGGCCTTACATCTATAGACAAGGTCTTCGCCTGCTAGGAAGCAGGGGTGCTTCTAAGAAGCCCTCCCCCCTCCCCCCACCCCCCTCTGCGCGTGGCTGAGCGCCAAGGGCGGCGCCAGAAGAGCCGGCTGGGGTGCCCGGCGCCGACCCGAGAAAGCCGCACGGACCTCCCGAAGTTCAGATGGGCACCAACACCAACACTGGGGGCTGCCTCCACCGGTTTGGACGCCCGAAATGGGCACGGAAACAATGGGCGCAATGCCCAACAGCAAATGCTATCCCAAACCAACAGCGGCCGCTGTTGGGCAGGCGGCCTTCTGTCCCGAATGGACACAGGCCGCGGCGGCGTGGACAGCGAGTCCTGTTCAAAATGAACAAGATCCACTGTTGGGCATTGTACCCATTCTTTCCGTACCCATTTCGGGCTTCCAAAACCGGGGGAAGGCGACCCCAGATCCTGGCGCTGGTGGTGATGCTTCGGCCGCCTAGGAGCCCCGAAGATTGCCGCCAGCACCGAGATCGGGAACGTCTTCCCTCGGCGGAGGCGCACCGCCGATATTGGTGTCGGTGCGAACCTCTGCGCCTCCGACTTGCGGACGGGCCTAGGACAGGAAAGGACCCTTCAAAAACACGAGACCCTCGGCCAACCAAAACGCCCCGAACCGTAAGGTCATTCGAGGGTACCCTCCCCAAGAATGCACAAGAACATCCAACAAGCACGAAGAACATCAGGGTACCCTCCCCGAACCGACCTCGATCCTATATACTCGACCAGGATAGTAAGGATGCGCGGTAAGGATGCAAGGGCCTTCGAACGCCATGCTGACGTTTTCCGTTCGGAGCGCAGCAGAATGCCGAAGGATGCCGAATACCGAAGGGGCAATGATGCAAGGGTAGCCTTGGGAAGTTGTCCCATCCTCACTATCATAGTTGACTGTACCTCGGTCCGACCGTACGTCACTTGCTCTTCCTCGAGGCCGACGGCGGCGACGACCGCGGCGGCGGCAGCGGGCGGCCCGCGCGCCTGCAGCAGCTGGCGCGACAGCTTCAGGTGGCGCTGCCGGCACTCCTCGAGCTTCTGGAGGCTCTGGGCCTGGGCGGCGGGCGGCGCTCACAGGGGGCGGGAGGGGGCGACCACGATGGACGACGACGGACGACCTCCCCCGCGACGACCACCGCCACAACGACGAACACGAACACAACGACGACGACGACGACGACGACGACGACGACGACGACGACGACAGAAACCAAACTTCCATGAACAGACACTCTGGAGGTCCGCGCGGATTTCGTGGATTGGCGATGGACTCGCCTCCCTGGCGCGCGGAGCGCGCCTCGGCGGCGCGCACAAGGGGGAGGGGGGAGGGGGGAGGGCTTCTTAGAAGGAGGCTGCTTCTTAGAAGGCGCCATCCTGGCAGCGCCCCACCTCGCCGCGGGCTCGGCGAAGGCCCTCAGGAAGGCGCGCGCCGGGCGCTGGCCCCCCGGCAGGCCACCGACGCGAGGCTTCACGTAGGAAGCGCACTCGTCGCCCTGAGCAGTCCTTGCGCAGTGCCCAGCCCTCTGGCTCCACAAAGTTCCCCACTTCGCGGTTGATGGCCAACCGTGGAACGCTGCCATTCGTACGCGGTGGATCCTTCTTTGCGCTGGCGAAGCTGACCTTCGCCTGGCGTGGCCTCCGCGCGAGGCCCTCGCCAGCAGTGCTCCCTCCCGGCGCTTGTGCTCGGCGAAACACTAGGCCGCGTCGGGGGCGCTGACGCCGAGGCGCTTCGCGAAGGACCCCTCCCCGATGGCAGGGAGAGACTGGGTGGCCCTCTTGCTCAGGGCGCCAGGGCGTCCAGCTTAGCGTTGCCCTTCGACAGGCCGCGCCCAGTGCTGGGAGATCAGCGCGGTGGGGACTGATTCACATTGCGGGTGCTCGTGGGTCCGAGCAACCCGACCACTTTGAAGATGTCCGTGGGCACTGGTTCGGGCGCAGCACCAATGCCCAGCTTGCCTGGGGGCTTTTCTTGTCGGCCGAGCAGCGTCGGTCCCAGAGCTCAGCATGAGTGGCACTGACTGGCACTGCCCTCATCTTCGTCGCCACCTTGAAATAGAGGCACTCCGACAGCTGCGACGCAGACTCCTCTAATTGCCTAACCAAATCACCGAAAAAATCCGCCTGACCCTCCCCTCTCGGAACTGCCGCCGCCATCGCGTCGCCATTAAATCGGAAACAGCGGCGGGGGAGAGCTCGCCAGGGTCCATCTCGTAGCGTGTCTATTAGAGCAGCGGGGTGACCACGAGGAGGGATATATCGGACTGGTTGAAGAGCCATGCCCAGTTCTCGAAATACGCGGCATCGAAGCAATCGATCGTTAGAGACCTCCTCATTGGGGTCGGGAAACATGGGGTCGGATCGGCGATGCGGCGCGATCCGCCGACCCCATCTACTCCGACCTCATCTGGGAGGCCTAAAGTCGTGCCGCCCTCGTGGCATGAACCAAAAATCGATAATGCTGGCACTTGCTGAGGCCGTTGACGACTAGCAAAAATGCCCGTAGGGCGTGAACGAAGACGGGAAAACCAAGTGTTGGTCTTCAAGAGTCAAGCGGGCTATCTCCACCGCCCTCCATAAGTCTTCGTTCTCTGGCACGAATATTGCCCAATGCTGTGGAATCTGGCTCGCTCCACTGGCCCTGCTGCTTCCGTCACCCGATTCCGCGTTTGCTGAGGTCCGACTTGAAGGGGGGAGCGTGCTACATGGAAGCCATGCGAAGACCGATCTCCACCATTGTGTGGGCTTCGAGACCGTTTCGTGGTAAACTGCACTCTCGTGGTGCAAGCACGGCCACGGTGGGTGGTAGAGCATTCCGTAAGTCACGTCCTGTATGCTCTTCTGGACACTCACGGGAGGCCATCTGCCCGCCAAGGGTGGCGGTGGGGTCCTTGTCTGTTTGACGGGTCGGTCAGCAAACCCAGCACGTTGTCTGATCGAGCAGCCCGTCGCGCGAGACGTAAGCTGCCTGGCTGAAACACGGACTCGAGGACCATGCGTCTTCCCATGCGGGAGTGAAGCACTCCAGCGCCAGGAGGAGGAAGTACAAGCGGAGATGCGGAAGGAGGAGAAGAGAAAGTGGCAGTAGCAATCGCAATAGCATTGTAGCACTACGACTAAGACTACGACTACCAGCACTAGTACTGATTGTATCTGGCCAGTGCTAATAATAGTGATCCAAGCCGAAGAAATCGAGTAAGTAGTACGTGACTGGTAATAGGATGGGTAGTTGCAAGGGTACGAGGAGAAGGAAGGAGAAGGTAATACAGCCAAGGCGAGATCACCGACTCAAATGTTGCAAGAAATTGAATCCTGGGAATCCTTTGAAAAGTACTGGTCCAGGGTTGAGCTTCGTCCTTCTGGGCTGACAGCGAAGAAACTCAGGGAACCCTGAGCCAGGCGGCGTTTTGATCGCATGCGCAAGGCAGTTCGAGATGAGCTCTTCTGATGGGCCGCTAGTCTGCGTGTCGAGGAAACCGAAGGTAAACTACCATCAGTTGTGTCCCGAGCGTCCGAAAACCTCCATCCTCCTCCTCCTCCTCCTCCTCCTTCTCATCATCATCATCATCATCCTCCTCCTCCTCATCAACATCATCATCATCATCATCATCATCATCATCATCATCATCAGCATCATCATCATCATCATCAGCATCATCATCATCATCATCATCATCATCATCATCATCATCATCATCAGCATCATCATCATCATCATCATCATCATCATCATCATCATCATCATCATCATCATCATCATCATCATCATCACCATCACCATCACCATCACCATCACCATCACCATCACCATCATCATCATCATCATCAGCAGCATCATCAGCATCATCAGCATCATCAGCATCATCAGCATAAGCAGCATCATCATCATCGCCGTCCTCACCAGCATCAGCATCAGCAGCATCAGCATCATGTTCATTATCATCATCATCATCATCATCATCATCATCCTCATCCTCATCCTCATCCGCACCCTCATCCTCATCCTCATCCTCATCCTCATCCTCCTCATCCTCCTCATCCTCCTCATCATCATCATCCTCATCATCATCATCATCCTCATCATCATCAACATCATCATCAGCATCATCATCATATCTTCATCATCATCATCATCATCATCATCATCATCATCATCATCATCATCATCATCATCATCATCATCATCATCATGAGCATCATCTTCATCTTCATCATCATCATGATCCTCGGTCCTCGATACCCTGTCCTCCTCCACAACAAAAGTGGATCATCGATTCCCCTTTACCTCATCCTCCTCCTCCTCCTCCTCCTCCTCGATCTTCGATCTTCGATTTTCCCCGACGGGCCCCGACCCTCCCCTTCGATCCCCGACCATGGATCCCCCTCCACCTCGACCTTCGATCCTCCTCCTCCCCCACCGATCCTCACCGTCCCCATCCATGCCCGACCCTCGATCCCCATCCGCAAAACAACTCGGTCCTCCGTCCCCCTCTTCGATCCACGACCCTCCTCCTCGATCCCCGACCGCTCCTTCGATCCCCGCCCCTCGATTCCCTCCACGACAGCCAGGTTCCTCGACCCTCCTCCTCGCAAGCGGACGGCGTTTTGGGCGCCGAGAGAGGAGCCCTGGACCCCAGCTTCCCCCAGGTCCGGCCTTTCGTCCCGAGCTGCTTCTTGGCGGTCCCAGGGTCTGGGCAGGGCACCAGGAGGCCGAATTCGGTATGCAAACTTCCAGGGCCCGTTCCCCTCAGGAGCCCCTTCCTGAGATTCGAAATTGCAGGAGGACAAAAAAAAAAGCTGCAGCATCATAGCTGCAGCATCATAGCAAAACTCGACCGGAGCCCTGGACCCCCCTTTCTGCGGCATTCTTCGAGCCGGATCGATCTGTGCTGGTCCTGCGGCTCCAAATCGGGCGAATACACGCCCCAGGGAAAACACACACACAAAATGCGCAGTCTGGGTCTCAAGGCCCTTAGGACCCCTCTCCACGCCGAGATGGCCTCGCTCTTCGGATCCCTGCCCCCCCCCCCCCCAGGCCACGCTAACGGCAATGTTGATCAACGGTCATTTTGAGAATACGTTTTCTGCGACACCGAGCTCGGGCAGAACAAATTCTAGGAAATCACGAGCCACACTTTCCAACATTTCAGAAACGCGGATGTATCGAGCAAAAACGCCACGGCGACTTGTAGGAAACCACGAACCACGCTTTCCTACAAGTGGATTGGCCACGAATCAACCACACACACACACAATACCGCTACCTACATCACCGTTACCTACATCGCCGTCAGCGCGTCTGCGGCCACCCCCCGCAGGCCGGCGGCTTTTTTTGCCGCCGCGCAGGCTGTAGTATGCGGCTGCGTTGGGCGTCGCTTCATGTGGAGGGCGATATTCGGCGGTGGACAAACCTCCCTTTAGCAAACCAGCCTTTAGTGAGAACGGCCTCGGACCGAAATCAACGGACCTGGACCCGCAAAAATGACGGCCGCGCCGCCCTCTCGCGAACCGAGAACGGCCAATTCGCTAATCGACGTGTCAGGGTAGGAGGTCTATCAACCTCCGAAACATTTTGGGGGGGGGGGGAAGACAGGTGCACCTCTCGGCCCGGAAATGCCACCTCCGGGGCCCTAGAAGGCGCCTCCTGGAACCCTATTTCGGGGCCCTGCAGGGCCCGCCTTCCTGCAGCTCTCGCTGCCCCCCCGCTTTTGCCCGCGGCTCTCGCTGCCCCTCCTGCAGCTCCTCTTCCTGCAGCCGTCGCCCTCCCCAAAGGGGCGACGCCCGAGGCGGAGCCACTCGGGCCGCCCGGCGGCTCGGGGCGCAGCAGGGCGCGCGGGTCCACGCTCCAGAATTTGCCTGCCGGGCCGCCGGCTGGCTCGTCGGCGTCCAGGCAGGAAGAGTAGGAGGAGGAGGAGGACGACGACGACGAGGAAAACGCTACGGCTCCGTTGCTAGAACCCTCTCAACGCAAAAAAGGACGAGGAGGAGGAGGAGGAGGAGGAGGATAGGCTGCAGCTTCGTTACTAAAGTCTGCTCAACGGTGAGAAAGTACGAGGAGG